CCGCTTTTTTTCCCCCCCCCGGGGGCCACAAAAAAAAAATTTTTTTTTTTTCGGCCCTTTTTTTTGCCCCCTGGCCCACCCGCGGGGGGGGCCCCCCCCCCGGAAGGTTTTTTGGGGTTTTTTCCCCGGGGAACCTTTGGGGTTGGGGGGGCCTCTGCCCGGGGCCCTTCCTTGGGAAAACGGGGGAACCCCCCCCCCCCCCCCCCCCCCCCCCCCCTGGGCAAGGGCCAAGATTGCAGCGCAATATAGGGGGTTTAGGCGGCACGCTTGCAGCATTCTATTATATAGGATTTAGTGTGTCGATAGCAAAACTGATATACTCTTCATTGCATTGACTTTCGTGCCGCATTCTAAAACCCATACAATCTCTTCATTTGTAGGATTCGTGTCGTCATATTATTTTCTACACCATGCACTAGACCTCGCGTATTCTTGAGGTATTTCCATGATTTCCATTAGCTCTATGTGGGATCCCGCGCGCGCGCGCTGAAAAAAGCGCCCAAAAATGTCGAAACCCCGGGGCTTTGTCAAAATGCCGGGGACATATAAGGCCCACCCCCCACCCCCCCCGCGACCAAGACTGCAGCGTAGCCCAGGGGTGTTTCGACGTTTCCAGATGGAGGGCCCCTTGGTCCTGGTAAAAAGTCAGTCAAAACTGCGGTGATTTTTGCGTTTAGTCCATACGGAGTGATGCGTCATACCCCTATTCTAGATGCATTTTTGTACATGTATACGAAACCGAGATTTCCGAGTATGTATCGATGCAAACCCGTCTTGGACACCCTTTTTCCCGGATGCCCTTGGTGGGGCACATCTAAACTTGGTGCGTCCGTCGAGAGACAACCTGAAACTCATCCACTCATCGCCAAACAAAGCAAACATGTTCTTGCTCAGCATCCAGCAGCCACACCACAACAACCGCCGTAGGAGCCCATCGGGGATTTCTTGTCTCTCTTCTTCCCTCAACAGAAAAAATACAATATATACTATACACTTCCGTGCAAAAGGAACCTTCGCGAACGACAAGGATACACCCATCCCGTTTCCCTTACGTATGGAATTCGAATTCAAGCGAGAGACGTAGTGAACCGCTTTGACTTCTGAAACGAGCTAAATAACCGAATCCCAACAAAATAGGGGAAAATCGACACAACGTCCAAACAACTTTGGCCTCGTCCCCGTAGACAGATACTTCCAGGGCTTTCATCTACAATCTATATGGTTTTTGTTTTCACTCTTCAGCTTGCTCCCCGCCCAACTACTGTGGAGAAGTTGAGTGGCTCAATTTCGGTGCAGAGACGGAAGAATCGTGTTCCTCGAGTAGGTGCTGGACTTGGTTCCTGAATAAAGCATCACCAGGGAGGGGCGTGTTTCAATTGCTCCACCCCCGTGCTCCGGCCGGCGGCGGAACTAGCTCCCTCAGCGACCGGCCCTCAGCGGTCGGACTATGCCACACACCTTCCTTGCGGAAAGAGTACGGGTACATACCAGCGGCACGGGCTGTCGCCACGGAAACAGCGCTGCGGTACCAGCAGCAGCAGCAGCGGCAGCAGCCAATCCCAGCTACGGAGGTGTATTTTTGTCCGCCTCTGCTTTCATCTCTTTCATGAACTCGAGCTCGGCGGCGCGCTCCTCCGCCTCCACGTCTTTCTTCTTTTTATTTCTTGTGCCTTCCTTCTTCTCGGCAGGAGAAGCTTCCGGCTTCTTCGCTGCCGGTGGGGGTTGGGCAGGCGGCGCCGTTGTTGCCCCTCTCGCCTCTGCTGGTTTTGCAACGGGTTTTGGCGTCGAGGCATCTTTCTTCTTTTCGGACCCTGGCGCCTTTGATGGCACTGCTGTGGTCGCCTCTGCGGGTGTTGCTGCAGTCAGTTTTGATGCCGCAGGAGTCGTCGGGGTCACTACCGTCACTTCTGGCGCTGCAGAAGACTTCGGAGAAGGTTCCTCGCCGGCATCTTTCCCTCCTCCGGGCAAATCCTTAGCAGCACCACCACCACCACCAGATGACGGCGCCACATCGACCCTTGCCGTAGGTGCTGACGCCATTCGCTGCAGGTCGACCGCATCCTGCACCCGCTTCTGGGACTGCTGGTACTTGTACAGCGGTCCGAGCAGCGTGCGTGCCACCTGCCATGTTTGTCACCACACCAGACAGCCGATGAAGGAATGAGAATGGGGGCACCAGACTTTGGAACGTCTCATCAAACGGCCAAGTAAAAAAACGTCGGAGGCCAATGCGGAAAGCTGCTTGTCGCAGGTTTGGACTGCACGACGCAGGCGAGGAATTGCCGCAAGGCACGCTGGTCAGAATAGTAGGGAGCCATCTCTTGCTCGCCATATGATTAACAGATTGATGGCATGAACAGCAGTCAAGACGTTAACCCTGGCTTCACGTGTACTATAAGGAGACCAAAAATACCGTTGCTGCACGCACACGCAACACAGTTGACAGAATCGCAAATCAAGTGACACATCTATGCGTTCCTACTTGGGACTACTGTGTCGACTCGTGCGGGTTGTCCCAAAGCTAGCTGGAGTGTCCGGAGCAGCGGCAGAACCAACAAAAACAGTGGACGCGTCATACCTCAACCGGGATGGACTTGGCCTCCTTGGCGAACCCAAAAAGACCCTTTCCCACCACTACAGCCCCCTGAGCTGTAGCACCGAGAGCCTTGAGTGTGGCGAACGCAATGTCTTTCGCGCTGTACATTTTGGCGGTGCATTGGGTCAGGGCTCGTGTGAGATTAGCACCCAGACAACGGAAGCAAAGACTTGTAGAGCGAAAATGGGCATATCCCCACAGTCACGCGAGTGAAGGAGGGGTCAGCGATATACAACGCGGCAGCAACGATGTCCAAGTAACGCTACCGCTGGGAGTATCGAAGGAGACGCGAAACAAACACACAGTCGTGCAAGCGACACGGCCAGGCCGGAATTACAAGCACTGACACGTGTATCAAGGCGCGCTGGAAAGCATGCCTTGCAATTACCGGCCCTCGGAAGCCTCAAGCACGGCAGCGGCAGCAGCAGCAGCAGCAGCAGCAGCAAGAACAAAAAGTGAACAAAACGCAACTAGAGGCTTACCACTGGAAGTGGACCAATGTGCCCGGTACAGCGATACTTACAAATAGCGCAGCGCCACACTGTCACGACCAGCATCTACCACAAACAAGACCGGATAGCCGGGTCGATCATTGAACGCCAACGGTGGGAACAGAGACTAGCGCGCACACCCTCCTCATACGACTCTTCTGTCTCTCAAAGCGAGAGAGCCCAACTCGTTTCCCTGATTGGCCTCCCGGTTCGTATCATGATCACCGACGAACTCTAATCTAGCAAATTCTTTAAAAGCGTTATTCGGGTATTATGTTCAAATTGATACACATCTTTCTCGGAGGTGGGGCTGATCGGTTTAATGCCCTGGTTTGCTAAATCAACGCCAGGCGATGCTTGATGTACCAACGGCGTACGTGTAAGGCTCTCCCCCGAACGTGACGAGGGCGTTCTTCATCTTCTCCTTCCTCCGCGCCTCCGCCTCCCTCTTCTCCCTCTCCTCCCTCTCCTGCTTTTCCTTGCCGGTGGCGACGGCGGAGGCCCTCTGGGCGAGGCTAGAGACGGTGTCCACCCCGCCTTTGACGCCCGACACGAAGCTCTCCGCAGACGCTTGAGTCGAGGCCACCGACGCCAGCACACCGTCTACCTTCTTCTGGGCCTGGAGCAGTTTCAGCGGCCGCAGCAGGAGTCCGAAAGGTCACAAGTTGGGGAGTGACTCATGCCGTAGCCATTGTACGCCACAGGGTGGTAACATGACCAATGATGATGCATCCCTGTCGTAATGTAGCGGAGCAACACCCTTCCTGCTCTGGAAACAAAAATTGCCACATGAACGCAGTTCGGGTGCTCTTTGCGCCGACGTCGCACCGCACACACAATCATCAGGTGGGTGGGAGGGGGATACTGAAGGTCGTAGAAAATAAAATGGCGGTCCTCTTCCGCTTCGCGTCTGTCGGGCACATAGCAGGGAAAATTGCATCGGGTATGAGGCACGGATCAACCTGATTTTCGGGCCTAGTGCAGCGTAACTGTCTTGAACAATACTTGGGGGAGAAAAAAAAAATTAACGTCAACTGCAGGTTCCCCCTCGTACGCAACAAGAACAGGCCGCAGAAATACGCACGCCCCGCCAACGACCGATTCTCCACGCTCAAACAGCAGAAACAACCACGTAGGTCGGCATGAACACATTTGCAAAGCAGTATTCCCGCCTTTCGGTCTGCCAAAAGCAAGCAAAAGCCAACCAGCACCCCCACACCTCTTTAGGGATCTCTTGGACGGTCCGCGGGATGCTCTCCAACACCTCGCCGGCGGACGCCGCCGCCTCTTGAGCGGACGTCACTGCCTCCTTCGCCTTGATTACCCCGTCGCTGACGGCTGTTGGTGTCGACGCCACAGCGTCCACAAGGTGGTCCACCTGAGGAGCGTTTGCGGTGTTGGGGCGGGGAAGACGAGCCCGCTCGCTGTCGTGCTTGCGTGTGCCGTTCCATTTAATCTTGGCGTCAGAATCTGGACGCAACTAGCCGGCGTCACACAAGGAGGGTAATACACACGGGAGGATTTTTTTCTATGCCTGTATGACCGAACTTCTACACACGGTCTAAACCGTTGGAAACCCGTATAACGAGCCGGAACGAACCATGTCCAGCCGGGCTGTCGTCAACCGGGGCAGCCGTCGGGGATCAAACCGCCAGCCTACCGTGCGCTGTCGGTTTCAACCATCCCCAGACGCTTCCAGCATAAAAACAGACAGCCGACACGAAGGCAGGCAGGTACTGTGCAAGACATGAATCGGGGGGCGCGTGGCAGCCTTGGGGTGCTTCTGAAAAGGACGCGTTTCTGTCGAATAACGCGGCATTGACAACCACCTCTTCCAGATAGAAGGTAGGACAAACGCCGATCTAGCCTCGACATACCCCGCTGTAGACCACGTGCAACCGGTTGAAAGCGACGAGAAAGAAACGCTTCGAAGGTTGCCGAGCACCTATGCGTTACTACATGGTATATGAAAATCGTAGAATGGAGTTTTGGGAGGTCGGCATCGACGCTTGCCGCTCTTCCCCGCACCACAACGCGGGCGTCGCCCAGAATGCGTGCCACTAGTCAACACAACTCACCCCCTCCACCGTTCCCCACACTACCGCCTTGGCCGATTCCACCGCGGCTCCGAGCTTCGCCGCTGCCGCCCTCCGCTCGGCGGCGGCCTTTTTTTCTCGCTCCAATCGCTCCTGCGAGAAGAAACAAGCGAAAACGCCCACATGCAATTCGGCAACACGTCAACACAAACACGGCAGCAGATACGATCAAAATTGAGGGCTTAGAGGCCGTGTTTTAACCCCGAGAAGGACCAATTGTATTTATGTTGCAGCCACCCCGTTGGTCAACGTCAAGCGCAGTGTCAGCCCACCCGACGGTCAACACTTTCCCACCACCCGAAAAGTAGACCCGCAGGGGGCACGTAGCACAGGAAAAGATCAGCAAGGTGAACCGAAAAAAGTTAAGAGAGGTTGAAAAAGATCGCCTGGGGTTGCGCGGTTCGGATTTTAACGGTCGAAATCTCTGATGCAGGGTGCAGAGTGTTGAATTGAGGCGTCCACACCTCGGAAAGCACTTGCTGCCGTTTGATACATTAGTCTAATGGATGACGGCAATAGCAGCAACAACAACACCAATGAAAACTATGGCTTTCGTCAGTGGCAATTTTGTTTTCGAACGTACACAGCCTTGCGTCTCCCAATCTACTCTGGGCATAGTTCGCGAGCCATCCAATGGCGCGACCCCAATCCAAGAAGATACAGAACAGAAAAAGGGTCTGCAAAGAGCATCAAGAAGCGGCACACACCTCTTCACCGCAAGAGCGCAAAGGACCGACAACTCCTGACGTGCGCCTCTAAAAATCATCTGGAGACCATCTCCAAACATCCTCCTACGGAGAGTAGTCCGGAGAGACAAGAAAAATAAGGAGGATCAGGGAGGGCACCGTGAATGAAAATCGTACCTCCTGCTGCCGTTTCCGTTTCTCCGCCATCTCGGCGGGCATGTCCGCGAGGCGCGACACAGCATCGACCGCCCCATACACTCCTTCTTTGACGGACGTGGCAGCCTTGCCGGCCTCCTTGACGGCGTCAGACACGGCCTCGGCGACCTGGGCGGGAGCTCTCGCCACGGCATGAGCGTTCTCCTTGGCTCCTGTTTGGCGGGTGCAGGCGATGAAGGTGGGGGGAGGTCGTAAGCGCAAAAAATTATAAAGGTTGCTCGCGATGTTTCCGACCAGAGCGGTGCACAGGAATGAGTTCAAGCCGGCGGCCATCAGAATTGTTCATATTCGAAGTTGTCATTCTCCTATCGCCTCCGACGTTGCCGCCCGTGCCAACTCGGGGAGGGCCGTCTCTCGCAGCTCCCTCGTTGTTGTTGTCGCCATCCTATCATAGTTAACCGTGGCTCGCAAAGTGTCTTAACGTATCATATTATGCCTACATACGGAACCATCAAGTATCTCAACCGTCCCCTCCCTCATTTACCTTCGATAGCCGCCTTCCCGCCTTCGACGGCCGCCTTTCCGTCCTCCACGATGCCTTTGGCCACCTCCGGAGCCTTGGAAGCCGCGTCCGCCGCAGCGCCCAGCGCGTCCAATGAGCCCCAGAACGCGTCCTTCGCCGCTACGGCTCCGCCCACGAGCAGCCGCAGCGCTCGCTTCGCGCCTCCGGGGGCGTTCGACGGGGCAACCGGTGTAACGCTAGCTGTCGCGGCAAGTTGAGGCATGGCGCCACCGTCGCCGGGTGCTGCGAGTTCCGGCCATGCGCACGAGGAGAGAGGGGGCGTACTCTTTTGCTTTGCACGCTTTAGCCGTTAAATAGACCAATGACCACGCCTCCTCGAGAGGACGGAGCATTGTTCCCACAGAGACCGATCACCGATGGCAAATGGTTCCTTTCTACTTCGCCAAAGGTTGCTCGAAAATGTTTTCCCAATCCGGTGAGGGTAAGGGGTCGGTCAACAAGCCCGGTGCACGGCCATGGACATGTTTCGCTCTTGTCATTTGAGTAGTTTTGGAGCTGGTAGTTTGACCAGCATTGCATTTCTTGCGGGTTCACGAACGGAACGTGTGTGATAGTAGCGCCTGTGGTGCTGTTGTTTACGGCCAAGCTTTGGACAAAAGTGGGATAGCAGTACAAGGCTCCCCCTCCGAAGTTAGAACGCTTGCCTCCCGGGGGCGACGCAATAGGACATGGGTCAATGCCATCGCGGTCGCATCGGTGCATCTCAACATCTCGGTAGTGAGTGTCGGTTTTGCGTACAACCTGCAGAATTTGCCTGGGTTTTTTGCCGTAGGTGCGGGGAATTTTTTTTCTCGCCGTGACTTCTCGCGTGTGCGCGCGTGTGTGCAACACTAGGCTTGTGATGACGACTTTGCTGCAGGGCCTACTGCTGTAACCCCCTGCGTTTCATCGCTCGTTCTCATGAATTCGTGTTGCCCATGGTCTGTGGGGCCTTGTGTGCATTGCGCAGGAATCAAACAGGAAAACGCCCCGCTAGAAAGTATCCGGTTCATTTCATGCATGTATGTATACATCTGAAGGCTTTCTTGTTTCGGATTTGCAGACTCCGAAATAGAGCCAGTTCCAGCGAATTTTCGGCGGCCATCACGCGCACCACCGATGTCTCGCGAGCCTCACACATAACGGGTAATGTACCGACGGGTCCTCTGAGTGCCATGCAGAAGAAAGTGTGAGAAAAAAAACGCTGTCCTACCAGAGAAAAAAAAACATACTTGTAACCAATAATAATGTCGGGTTGGTACATCTAGGCATATGACGGAGAGCGAGAAATCAAGTGAAAAGAGAGCGAACGAAAGGCGGAGAGGACAAAAAGAGAGAGAGCGCAATAGTGTGCCTGCAGCCACCCCATATCTCTACGGCCCACGTTATGTGTGTGCGTTTCTTTTCTGGCACACTCATCATTCGGTGTAAAAAACCTTCGCATCGGGACACAGGAAGAAGCTCACTCAGGATTTCTTCTGTAACCCCTTTAGGGCTGGATCGCCTTTTGGGGACCCCTTTTGTTCCCATCTTCTTCACCTGCTTTACCTCGCGAAGAATGACATGATTGTCTCCTCCTTTGCACTACTCGACCAGGGGGGTGCCAGGGTACCCAGGGAACGACTCTAGTCTAGTATGGATGCTTTGTAGAGTGGAGTAGTATGAGGGTAATGAACAGGTCGAATCGCGGGGCGATTACGCCGCCGGTTCAACAGCGAAGTTGCGCCGCGTCTGTTTACCCTTGGGTGGAAAGCGCTACTAGGGGCAAGCGCGGAAGAAGTACCTAGACCACCGTTGACAGGAGGCACCAAGCAACCTAGGGCTTGAGTTAGAAGGTCTCGCTTTCCCTCTAGAGAAATATCTTGAAAACCTCCTTTTCGTGCCCCGTTTACCACGCTCCCGCCAGTTGCTGTCTATAATCCCTATATCAATTATCCCCTCGGGGGACAATTGATAGGGATTATAGACAAGAGACGGCTCAAGTGGGAAGGCAGCTTTGCACTTGCACCCAGGGATGGAACTGTCTGCACCATCCAATCAGCAGGCGTCGTTCGCTCTTTTCTTACATTTCAGAAATTTCGCAAGACCGACGAATTTTCTGTGCGTGGTAAGGGGGTTAAGACGCAACTACAATATACTCTGTGTGTTGTGCTGCCCCTCTCTTCGGCGCATGGTAGAATTGTGTGTGCGCATGATCGCAACAGAGAAGCTCCTCGTATCGAAGAACGACGATACAGAAGAACCACACTCCTGCGGCCCGACCACTGGGGGAAGTTGGGACAAACGGGACCACCCGCACAGCACTCCTACTAGTGGGACACGTCCAAGGCGATGGAGACACTGCGTTTGACTATTGACTATGCGCGGTGTCGTGACAGCCGGTCAGTATCGGGTACAAATTCGAAACTACAAAAGAGCCTGTTACCCGCAGGGGAGATGTCCCTATATGCTGTCTGGGAAATCGTAGACATATAGGTACTTTCTGACGCTATGGATTCATTGATAATCTGTCTCAGACTCTTTTCTATGATAGAGATGGATTCGTAGTGTCATACTAAGAAAAAAAAAAAAAAACGAGCCGTGCAAACGAGACTCAACATACCGAGCGTGCGAGACGATGAACGCAATTCCGTTACAATACTACTACTTGTAGTGAAACAACGACGACGAAGTCAGCCCTGGCGAGTAGTCTAATAGGTAATCTAGGTACTTTTGGCCCTCCTAGATACGGCAGTGATCTCCGGGGGCGGACCCCTCGCCAAACGCTGGGAAAGTCTTATCAATGGAGGCCTGAAAAAGTGCTGCAACTGGGCAGAGCCGACTGAGTTGCAGTGTTCGAGCATTCCCCAATCCCGTTAACCCCGCAAATCCCACAACCCAGCTTACCTTTTCCAGCGGCAGCAGCATCGGCAACGCCCTGCACCTGCTCCGCGACGCTCCCCGCAGCGTCCGCTGCCCCGTAGACCGCATCCTTGACCGCAGCCACGCCACTGCCTACCTGCGGCATGAATTTACAGAGTCGAGGAAAACAGCAGCAACATCATCGCGTGCCCCACATGAGAGTAGCGCCGACTCGATCATAGCCGTAAAGGCGCGTGAATTTCTGCCTGCCACGCCAAACACAGAGGTCTTTGGGCCTGCAGGGTGCGTCAGCTGTCGCGTGGTATAAAGCGAGCTTAAAATAAATTAGGGCAGCAAAATAGTGTACAACGCGGCACAGGCACGCTCGCACTTACGTAATTGCGCCGCATGCACACATACCACCGTATGTCCCTTACCTTCCGAAGCGACTTCCCCACCCCGTCAAGCGGGTTCTTGAGCGACCGCACGTCCGGAATGCTCGGGAGCTTCGGCGGCGAGGGGGGCTTGACGCCCCAGCGCGCGCTCTTCTTGCGCACGTCTTCCTCCTCGTCGTCTTTGTTGCCCTCGGGCTGTTGAACCGGGCGCGTGACTCTGCCGCCGGCAAACTTGACGGCGCTCGTGCCCTTCTTCTTGGAGGCGGAGGGACGCTTCGGAGGGGTCGGAGAGGAGGACGACGGGGCCTCAGAGAGAGGCGCGCCTCCGCGACGCCTGCCGAAGGACGGGTCGCACGATGGTCGATACCTGCGCAGTTGTTGTCGTGCCGAGCTGCTGAAGGTGTGACCGGCAAACCCGGAAGCGGAGTCGAGGGTGCAGATCAGCAACAGGAGCGCGGTCGCCTTGGACACGAGAGCCGTGGGGCATCCCGCCGCTGGCCACGGTGGCGGTATTCTTTTGCTGTGCCCACCGGGCGGCGCCATGGGAGCTTTAAGCAGGTGGTTCGGCGGCGCGGTGTACATGTATGTGTCAACGCCCCATCTTGCGCATGATCCTTGCCTTTTATGATTCAGTCTGGCCCCGAGGCACCGCGGAATCATGTGCAACAAGATCGGTGGGTACTCCCAAAACAAAAGATGTGTCAGAGAGGGGGCGAAACCAGCACCGCGTCGTTGCAGCCGTCGTGGACGTACAACCCGCTACCTCTTTACTGTCTGCAAATGAGGACCTGTGCACTGCTCGCATTTCTCTCCGTGGCAGGTGAGTCTCAGCCTGGTTGCCCATTGTGGATTATCTACGACGTGGATGGCGGATAGGTTTCACAGCCGTCCCTACGCGTCATCTGCCGTTTGTTGCATGAGTCATGATTTCTTCGCTTGGCAAGGCCAAGAGAGAGGTACTGTTTACCTCTCCCTCCTGCCCCTCAGCTACAAGTAGAGCAGTGCATTCGATCATCGATTGCCCTCGCCGGACATTCCCTCTACACGGCCTGCTGTCGGCGGGAGAACGAGGCGATTTCTACGACGACACTCGTATACAAGTATATCCTAAATCAGCAATTCCGCCGCGTCGCAACGAGCACCACCTTAGTACTCCTGTACACCAGTACACATCGCCGAATATACTCTTTTCTCTATGCGTCCATTGCCACGTGGACTGCTGTGCGTTGGCCCTTCGGTCTGGTCCGTAGTCACGCCACGTGCACAGGGTTCCCGAGCGCGTCGCGCGTTCGCTGTGCTACGGACACCTGTAGGTACCGCAGTAGCTCCGCGACGTCTTTAAATGATCTACAAGTAGTCAGTGGGTTTGGTTCTCGCCCCTCCTGAAGTGGTTTGCCTCGTAGACCACAGGTAAGCTGTTCACTGCCGTACCGCCCTCTCCACCTATGCTACATGCAATCATATGCTAAAAGCGCCATAACCACAGCAGCAGCTACAGACCACACGTGTGAACAATCCAGACCGCCGACCGCTGCCGACACGCGGAGAAGCTGCACCCGAACACACTTTTCGCCAAACGAACCACCGTTGCAGGTTGCGACGGGTTCACAACACCGCCGTCTTCCTCGAGAAGCGTAACCCCAACCATGTCCCATGGGCAGCGGGGTAGTGGACCCGTGTCGCGCCAGGCGCTGCTCAAGACCGGAGCAGCAGGCTTGGCCTCCCTAGGCCTGTGGTTCGCGGCGGGCTCCGACGTGGGAAGGCCGCAAGCCGCCTTTGCCGCACCAAGGGTGGGAAGCGGTAAGAACCTACGAGAGAGATTTGGCAGGCAACGGGGGTTCATGATTTGCATGCCTTAGCGGATAGACCATTGACCACTCGTCCTCGAGAGGATGGAGCATTGTCCCCACAGGACCGGCGGCCAATCGCCCGTTCCTATCTTGCGAAATGTGGTTGGAACGTTTTTCCCTATCCCATCTATCCTACAATATCAGTATCACTTCCCGCCTTTGCGGCCCACTTCCTATGCCACCGGCCCTTGGCAGGTATTCATACTTATCTCCGGTAATCGCGCCCCAAAGGCCCGACTTGAGCGTCTCGCTGCAAATTTCAGGCGTTCGGGATCATTTCCTCTCGACACAGGCGGGACCAAAGTGCGTCTAGCGTTTGTGTACGTATCCGTTGCTTCGCGTTGTTGATTTCCCCCGCCGCCGCCAATTATGCATTCCAACGAGACCGATGACTATATTTGCATTAATTACCTGTCGCCTTGTTGTCAGGAGGGCCACCGTTTTCGAAATCGGGTTATGATCTTGATCCGTTGACGGCTGAGGAGGTGGACGCCAGGGTAGACAAACTGACGGAGCTGCAGAAGGTCGTCCTGACCCAGGTAAGTGAACTCTTGTGTTAACGCATGTGCTTGTCCCGTGTTTGAGCTTTCTACCCACCACACACCTAACCGGTTCGCTCTTTGGACTATCTTTGAACGCGGTCCCCGTGGGGGTTGCTGAAGGCCGTTGGTACCTGTCGCTGATGATGTTGAGCGGCACCTAGCGGTACCTTTGGTGGCGCGCTGCGTCAGCGTAGCTGGCTGGCGAGCGTGGCCCTGGAGCGCCGGCAAGCCGCGAAGTAGCTGTTAGTAGGTTGGCTGGCGGACGGAGTGACGCAACGTGTCTAAACATGTAACAAAACACGTGCCTTCCTGTCGGAGGCTCTTGCCGTGTACTAGATACCGATCTACGGAGATCTAGGGAGGTTCGTGTAAGCATGGTGGTATCTGTTTGTAGGAGGGCGAACCCCCTTCTACCGTGCATTGGCTAGCTTGCCCTGGTCACTCGTTAACATCTGAGGTCTTGAATCAACCGCCCTTCGCAGTCTTGGGCGATAATCACGCACTATTTAGTAATGCTCCTAGTGGGTCCTTATCGAGTGTCAGAGGATGCGAATGACGGTGGACTCAAGACCTTGTTTATCAACGGGTGAGCAGGGCATGCTCACCTATGCACGGCCGAAGGGGGATTGCCCTCCTACAAATACATACCACCCAATGATACACGAAACCCCCTTAAGGATCCCCTCAGATTCGTATCTCCTGTAGTGCTGAGTACAACTAACACACGCATCGGACCCCATCGCGAAGTCAAGATGTTCTACGGGGCGAACGGCGGCATGATTCAAAACGAAATCCCATCAGATGCCTCGTTTATCTTGTTTCGTTCAACGGCGGATCCAAAGGAGCGGCGAGCGGCCGAATTTGGGTTGGTTCGTGTTGCCGCTCGCTGGACGCTATGTTGTATAGTACACAACCGTCGCCAACAAACAGTTGGCAGTCCGCCATCAAACAGCTCGGATGAGCTGGTTGTGAAAAGAGTTAATAACCCTCGATTTACGTTTGTTTTCAAACCAGTCGCTGCCGTTTGTTGTTGGTCTTCTTGCTTGCAATCTAAACCTACCAAGCTTGGAATGAGCGCACAAAAATTTCACAACTCCCTCACTTGGAGCATGACACGAAATTACGTCATTTTGTGGTTTATCGTTTTGGTTCAGATTTCCCCTCTATTATGGCGTGTCTTACCCCCATGTTGAAACGGTGCTCTCGTGTCGCTGCTCGATATAGGCGGGTACGGAGCGGCCGTTTCAGGGCAAGACGGTGAACGGGTATAACGGTGGCATAAAGGCGGAGGGTACCTGGGTCAGCGCCGTATCGGGGGTCCCCCTCTTTAGCTCCGACACCAAGTACGACAGCGGCACCGGCTGGCCGAGGTGCGTGTGCATGTCTGTGTGTGTTTTTAGTATTTTTGTTATGCTTTTATTGTTTTTTTATGTTTTGTTTTTTTATTGTGATACTTTTGTTGTTTCTATTTCGTTACTGGCATCGACCGCGAACCGGCGACCAACGAAAAGACGTAAGTCTCAGTGCAGCTGTGCGTACACATGTCTTTATTGTTTGCATGGACGGCGCCAACTGGCTGACCAATGGAAATACCTCAGTCTTGTAGCGAAATATTCAACACGAACACGCTTTTGAATCAAAGGGTAAGGGTTCTACCGACAGGGGGAGTGCCGAAGTTGGACGTGTGTGAGTGTGTGTCTTTATTTTTTGCGTTGACCACGACTACCGCGTGACGAATGAAAGTACGTCGGTCTCAGTGCGGTTGAAAACAAAAAGTTCTTGTAGATGCCATGATATGGGACCCCGTGAGGGAGCGTCATGAGAGAGGCTACGATGCTCTCCGGAATAAGGACTGACTTCGTTTGCGTGTGTGTGTGCTTCTTTGGTTTTTGCATTGGCCGCGTAAACCAACTAACCAAAGAAAAGACGTCACCCTTGTCGATAGCGGTGATAACACGGGAACACGCGTTCGCGTGGAGTGCGTGCGTTCGTTTTTTGTTTTATCGTTCCCGTCTCATCTTGTGGGTGGAAAGGCGCATCTCCTGGCGACCGCCGTGCTGTTGGAAGCGGCTCGGAAGCCGCACCACCCGACCACACAACTACAGAAGGATGACTTATTTCACTTTTTCTTTCTTGTGTGCGTGTTTTTTCTTTTCGTTTATCCTGGGCGGTCTCACATGGCGGAACTGTTGAGTCCGGTCTGGAGTTCTCAATTGCCAAGCGTAAAACTCCCCCCTCCCAAAATCCATTCTTGCTGACTGTGGACCCCCCTCCCCGAATCCATGCTTGCTGACTGTTGACCCCCCTCCCCGAATCCGTTCTTGCTGACTGTGGACCACCTCCGCCCCTTACTCTCTGTGGACCTCCCTCTCTGGGCGTGACAGCTTCTACGCGCCGATAGACCCCGAACACGTGATCGAGCGTGTCGACCCGAAGGACGCGGCGAGCATGCCCAAGTTCTTGCAACGAGTCGAAGTGCTGGACAGAAAGAGCGGGACCCACCTCGGACACGGTGAGATGAGAGCCGGGCGTGGCGACGAGACTAGGCCTGCAGTTGCCGCTGCCGTGATGGCAGCTCGACTGGTAGCGCCATTGGCGTTGTTGCCTGCTTCGAGATTTCCAGGACAACGAGAGTAACGTTAACAGCTCGAGATGGCAGACAGCGTGACGCGCTCGATGACCAGAGCCGCCAAAGTGTATCTGTGTAAAGAAGACGAGAGGTCTCTCGCAGCCGAACACGGCAAGGTAGATTGATTATGCCTCCCCGGCTGGTGGAAACCCAGTGGGCTTCTTCGGCCGGGTGTTGTTGGGACACCCTGAGGTCTGTGGTAGTGGTAGGTCGATTTGAGCATCATTTGGTTTCCGCCCCCCCCTTGCACAATCCCCACCCCGTTTCAGCTCGAGTGTTTTTGGGGTGTTTTTCCCCCCCCCCCCCCCCTGTGACGCGCTCCCCCCCCCCCACTCTCTCTCTCTCTCTTTCTCTCTCTGTCTCCCTCCCTTTCGCTCTCCCGCTCTCTCCCTCCCTCGTCTTGCTCTATGTCTTGCCTGGCGTTACGGTGACAGTTTTCAACGACGGCCCAAAACCCACCGGCAAGCGCTACTGCATGAACGCCGCCTCTATGGCATTCATCCCGAAGGAGGAACCGTTGCCAGTTAAGCCATCCTTCAAGCCCTAAGCAGGCGTTTTGAAGGGTTGGGGTTGGTATTCTCGACGCGTAGAAGAGATGCAGGGGTGTGTCAAGACCTTCCGCTACTCGCAACTCATCGTTGGTTCCAGCTGGATGGGGTTTCCCTGGATGGTGTGGAGAATGGAGGGCAGGAGTTATGCTAGGCATCATGGGCGAAACGGCATGATTTTCCATTGCCTTCCTTTTTGTTGCTGTACTTCTCCCTGTCCGAGACCAATGTAGATTAAGTTGGACTCGCGACACAGGAGCATTTACCGCAAGCGGGAAGGTGGTCAGTCTTGTCTGTGCGACCTGCGTCGGCTCTGCGAGAGTGGCTGAAGGAGATATGCCGGACTGGTTTGTAGGGAAACCTAGGACGAGAAAAAAATAACCGAACGTAGCGGTGCCTGATGTAGTTCGACGAGACCCGAGCGAGCGCAAGGTTTGTGTGCGCATTGGACGTTCGGTCTCTGCGGACACCCCTTGTCCCACCGTTTTAGTCGATTCGATGCGATGTTTTTCTAGAGCAAGATCGACAATTTGCTGAAGCAGGGCTCACATCGCATCATCGTGGTTGCTCTCTGTAACTTGTAACCGCCATTTTTTTTGTTGTGGAGGCGAGGGGGAGGCAAACTTGGCTTCGGGGGAGAGGTCCCGTTTCGATTTTTTGTAATCCGGTTTAGACCATAGGCACCCTGCTCGCTCGGAGGTGGGGGGCGTCAAGCTATGAACGCATCGGACTGCATCACACGTCTCCGTCTTGCACACGCTGTTTTGACGACACTTGAATACTGATTGACTGGTTGGGATATGATCTGGAGCCGACGGCATGGAGGAGAGAAAACGCGCGGTGTGCTATGTAAAGAGTTTGAGTCCGGCTTCTTGGAGCGAGACTACGGCGTAGAGCGGTTTTCGAAGAGGTGTTTTCCGGAGTTTTTTCTCTTTGGGCAAGGTTTTAGCTGCCCCCACCACTCCCCAAACAACAGCTACAACTGGGACCCCCATGTGGCGCTACTCCCCTCACTGAGATCGATCGTATGCATAGCTGTGGTTCCCCGTTGACGGCGTAAAGATATTTTCCCTTGGTCAGGCGATTGTCGCAGTAGGCTTGCTTCCTCGCATGGAGCCCTGCTATTATAGTGAGACCAATCGGATGCATGTGCACAGGAGCTGCTGTGTGCTCGATCACGACTTCACTCGAGATGTCGTAAGTAGAGAGACTGCTGTTGATGTTCTTCTCCGCTCACAGCATCGAACGCGATTCTTGGAAGTATACAAGTTACATCTGTGCACTGTCCAGGACAGCTAGATCCCCTGGTGCGCTTCTACATTCAACGGACGTGGCCAAACCGGTGCCTACCGCAAACCCCAACAGAATTGGCCATCAGGCGTCCCGCTTTGCTTGGCAAAGACTGCGTGACGCCTAGTCAGCTTGTCGATCTCATATGAAACCCTTCACTTCTATCGCAATGTTGTGAATATCTCGGTAGTATGCGTTGACGTCGTTCGCAAACAGCCGGTGGGACGGGCGACGTATTTACAGGTCGTCCACGAACAACAATCGGCGACGTGCGGCTTGCCTTTGGCTGGTTGGACACTATCATCCCAGTAACGGTTAATTGCATCAAAGCGCCAGCCCCAACAAGAAATAGCTAGGGTTCCTGGAACGTAAAGGCCGCAGGAACGGGGGCATATAGTGCCTACCTGCCACATGCTGTGAGATCGACGGCATGTGGATGGATGCACCGCCTCATTTCACCGGTGCAAACCAGAGAGCATTGACACAGAGCACGTCGCGGAAAGAAGGCCGGCGTTTGCTTCTCGTAGAATGTACCATGGATTAGGACGCGAGAGCTCGCAATACGTCCTTACGTTTTGGTCCTAGGACAACAACAATGGGACCGACCCCCCATCTCGAACAAAGAATCTTTTGACCACCCCTGAGGCAACGAAAGCAACTCTGCATCGTTAGCTACGCCTATGCCCGTTCCCCTTCACACGTAAAAAACTGCCAACCACCTGTTCCGCGGTCAACGTACGAGCCCGTACAACATAGACAGCAATGCACCAGCGATTATCAGTGTGAAGCACAAGCATAACCCACCCCCCCCCCCCCGCAAAGCGCCATGGAAGCGTGGTCGCTAAGCAACGTGTCACGCACGAAAAAAAAACTGGAATGATCGAAAAACGAAATCGGCAACTTGCACCGCGAACGACAAAGCCACATATAGACAACGGTACACATGTCATTTTTTATCGAACATTCAGTAACTAGCGGTGATGGATGACATTCTCGTTGTACTGCCTTGGTTGGCGGCCCCCCTCGCACTGCCATACACCCCCCCCTTTTGTAGTCGATCACGACGAAAACCCTAAAAGCGAGAGCTCGCCTCAAGTGCGCCTCAGACGTCCATGTGTCCCTGGCCTACCGTCCAACACAACGAAAACCAAGTAGCGCGGAGGGGGGCACCGCGGCACGAGTACCCCCCCCCCTGCCCGAAGCAGCGCGCACTTGCCCTTTACCCTCAGTTCGGCACGAATCGCGTGATACCGCTGTCGATACAATAGTCCCTCGTGTTTCTGCTAATCTACATTCGTACCGCGCTCGCCGCCCTCCCCCCTCGTAGGTGTTGCGGAATAGGCGAATGCCAGGTCGCCGTTACCACGAACAAAAACAGGGTGCAGCAGTCTTCGAACTATTTACTATACGCCGGTGCGGTCGTTTTAATAATAATACTGAATTGAGCAAACCAACACCCATCGGCACCGACTGACTATGCAATGCGGCCACATCCGAGGTGGACAATCACAGCACGCTTGCTTCCCTCTGCCTCTTCCGAACCGAATCGATTCTCATGCCACTCAGCCCCCAGGATTCGGCGAACTTGCCGGCTATAGATTTGTCGTTGTCGGCCTTGTCTTGCCGTGGAGAAACGACGGACGCTAAACACACACATAAATTGCAATACGTTTCGCACACACCCCCGAACAACATGACAGCATGTCTCTGGAAGCAACGCGAGTACGGCGCGCTCAAACCATGGCAAGCCGTAGCACCAGCGCTTGGTACAGGCTCTTGGTTCCGAGGCTTGCAGCTGCTGGCCATAGGCCGTTCCAACCAACAGTAAGCACGCCCATCGCTGAAAAAAAAAACATGCGAAACGACGATAAAACCCTTCCCAAGAAACAGGCCGCCAAAGGCCAGCGTGGCACCAACCTTCATAAACGCAGGACGCCTCAGCACGAGCCCCACGGCGGAGGGGCGCTATTAGTCTAATACTTAGCTGGAAAATGTAAGGGACAAGTACAAGTTGGCAGTGCACTCGGACTGAAGTACAACCAACCCTTCGAGTGTGAACCCGGGGGGAGGCGGTAGGCAAGGCGGCGGTGGGAATGAGTACAGGATGGGGCGGGCAAGGGGGTGTAACCCCCCCCCCCCCCCCTCCTACTATCTCCTCTGACTATAACC